TTTTAATTTTTAAATGTTTATTTTTAAGACAGACAGAGAAAGTGTGAACAGAGAGGGGCAGAGAGAGAGGGAGACCCAGAACCTGAAGCAGGCTCCAGCCTCTGAGCTGTCAGCACATAGTCCTACGCGGGGCTCCAACTCACAAACCATGAGATCATGACCTGAGCTGAAGCTATATGCTCAACCGACTGAGCCACCCAGGCACCCCAATGATTACTATTATTTTAAGGATTAAAATAATATATGTATGAAGTGCCTGGCACATAGTAGACAAAAAAAAAAAAAAAAGTTAATCTCTTCTTTTTTTCTCAGGAAATATCTAAATATTTACATTAACAGTTATTTGGGTTGATGCAAGAAATTCAAGGGTCTCCATTTGGTAATAGTTACAGCTTCCATTTATCTAGAGCTACAATGTGTCAGATTCTATGAAAGGTTTTGTATGCATTATCTCATTTAATCCTCAGAACAATTCTCTGAAGTAGGGACTATCATTTCTCACTATTTTCAGGGCAAATAAGTGTATTGTCTGTACTCATCCAGCTAATGAGTGACAGAGAAAGAACTGGGAATTATTTCTGATTCCAAATCACAGATTATTAACTGTTATGTCCCCCACCTATCTCTTGTTCTCAGTGCACATTTATCCACTTTCATCACACCCTTCTTGGGTACTTAACTCTGGTCCAGGCGGTGAAAAGATAGGCCATATTATAGTGCCTGTCCTCAAGACTAAGTCTAATGGAGACAGCCAGGGTCTTATGGACATTTGTAAGAGTTACATCAGGCAGGTGGCTCTTGCTGGTATGTTATTTTGCACTGCCCCAATAGAGCCCAAACCTCTCAGACTAATCAGTACTTCTCTTTTGAAAGTCTGTCTATGATTAGAACTTATTTTTAGTACTCTAATAATAGTTAACCTGGATTCTACCAATGCAACATCACTGCCCATGTGTTTGGTCTGGCATTTCCCTTTCAAAAGTGTGTACTTCTTATATAAGTTCATTGATTTTTATTTGTCTTAAAATAAAACATAGACATTGTTTTGAGAGTTAAGTAGTCATAAGTGGCTTATAACAAAAAGGTATTTCCCTGCCCCTGTCCCTCCAAACCTCTACTCCAGAAGCAACCACTTTCAATTTGTTTTAGCTATTTTTCCTAGCACTTACACATTTCCATTTTTGTAAGGAATTTGTATCTAATGTTATCGTTTGGTTACTCAACTTCAGACTTTATTTATTGACTTCCTGTTATGGAAGATAAGGATTTAGTTATGAAATGTTAGGATCCCCTCTGCTTTCTCTCCCCCATATTATAATATTCGATATTCAATATTATAATATTATTCAATATTATAATATTTGTTAAATCAAAATATATTTAGGTTGTTATGCCTATTCATAGCTGAGCATTTCAGTCTAGTGAGATTGTGTTCTCTTTTTGTCTGCCCTAAAGTTAATAACTGCCTGGTTCTGTTTGCTTACTTTTCCTTGTACTTTTCCAAATTCTTCCTTCAGCACTCAGTAGCCTATCGGTAAAGTTTTCCCCCATCTCAACACATCAAAAATCTATCAGTTTCAAGTTGTTTCTAATTGAACTGCTTACTCTTAGACCTGCAGTCCAGCTGCCATCCCAGTGTTTCCTCCTTTTTTATCCCAGGAATTGCCTTTGCCTATTTCTTGGGTTGGATATGTTTTCTGGATCTCATTTGTGTACTTTTTCTTGGTTTACTTCATTATTTAAGTGGAGCACATCCTAAAAAAGAGTGCAGAGGAAGTAAATTGCTTGAAACTTTGTTTTTATTCTACCCTGACATTTGATTGTAGGCACATTATATGTAGAATTCCAGAATCTAAGTATTTTTTTATGTTTATTTTTGAGAGAGAGAGCGAGTGAGCAGGGGAGGGGCAGAGAGAGAGGGAGACAGAGGTTCAAAAGTGGGCTGCATGCTAACAGCAGAGAGCCCCTTGCATGGCTTGAACTTACAAACCACGAGATCATAACCTGAGTTGAAGTTGGACACTTAACTGGCTGAGCTACCCAGGGGCCCCCATAATCTAAGCATTTTTATTTCAGATTTATTTCAGGGGGTATATTGGTTTCCTATGGCTGATATAATAAATCACTGCAAACTTGGTGGTTTAAAACAACAGAAATTTATTCTTTCACAGTTCTAGAGGCCAGAAGTCTAAAATCACCCACAAAACAGTCTGGCAGTTCCTAGACTTACCACGTGACCCAGCAATTCTACTCCTAGGCATATATACTCCGTAGAAATAAAAAAAATATCTACATAAAAATTGGTACACAAACGTTCAATCGCAGTATTATTCATAATAGCCAAAAAATAGATACAACCCAAATGTCCATTCTTTCACAGTTCTGGAGGCC